GCATATTTTGTCACTATCACTACATAGTATAAAACAAAGTCGCTTTCTCTGTCCCTATATCCCTATGTACGCTTAAATCTTTAAAACTACGCATCGGATTTTGATGCGGGGTTTTTTAATAGATAGAGTGATTCAAGAGGAAGGTTTTAGTATTAAATTTGTTAAGTTTTTGTATACATTGGCTAATAAAATATAACGATATTTGTTGGAGGTGTCGGCAAAAATAAGACGTCTGGGAGCTTTCAACGAAAACGCTGCCTAAACCCTTTGAGATATAACAAAATAATGTATGGTGGAATTCTGTATCTTATATAGGTCTATAGAAAAGTCCGCGATGGCATATGTCTATCTCTTAAGGATAGCATACTATATCCATTTTAATTTAAAACGTACCTAGGGACGAACCCGAGCGAAGCGAGGGTGAGTCGCTAGTTTATCTGATAAAATAAACATACATATATCAAAACTTAAGATAAATAAAATCTATACATCTAAATGAAATTGAGTAGGAGCTTTGAGTTCGGAAATATCTATCCTATATAATATCCTAATATAAATATATTAATTAATACGATTTTGTCCACTAAAACTAAAAATTAAAATTTTATTTTAAACATTTCAAATTCTTTTAATTCAAATATTATTTTAAATAAAACTATCTTTTCGGATTTTTTCGTGAATTTATTTTTAATTTTTTGGTTCCTGACGTTTCGAGTGCTTTACAGCAATCATGGTCACGGGAGAAGCTAAGGTTTAAGACGTCTCAAGGTCATTATATACTTGTTACAAACAGTGCCTACCCTTGGTTTTATCGTTTAAAACTTGCGGAACGTTGGGTCATAACTACCATTTGTCGCTTGCGCCTTGGACATGCATGTACACCTGTGCACCTAGCGAAAATTAGGGTCAGGGACCATTCCTTATGCGAATGTGGTCTTGATGAAGGTACTCCCTCTCATATTCTTTTTAGCTGTCCTAGACTTCTCCATCCTATTTATGATGTCCTTCCCCTCAAAGTCCCCCGTCCCATTGATGTTAATTGTTTGTTAATGTTTGTGTTTAGTCCTTTATGTAAATTTTTATGTAAATATATTAAGAGTAATGGAATTAGATTATAGACTAACAATTTTATAATATATTTAGAACTTACTTACTAACTGCTTATTTTTAATTATGGTTTTTATGTATATAATAATTGTGTTGTCTTTTGTTGTAGATCCAAGGTTCATAGAGGAGTTGCTAACCTTTTTTACACTTTTTAATTAATATAAACAGTTTAGTGATCTCATTTAATACCGACCAATCTCCTTCGTGTCTTCTCCATTCTACGTGACATTGGCAAAGTAATCTGTGCTCAACTGGCACGTTTTGAAGCCATTAGCAAGAGAATTGAATTGAATTGAACAGTGCCTACTCACGATTTCACAAAATGATTTAAAAAATTCTAAATATAATTAATAAAAACAGAAAATAATAATAATAAGAGATCAGTTAATAATCATATTAAAATCGGTTACCAAAAGAGGTGCTAACTCGGCAATGAGAAAATTTTAGCATGGAAAAATTTACATAGGTAACATTCCCGCGGTATTGGCAACACGTTATAAATATCTGTTAGCATGGGAAATAGTCACTGGAAAATGGGATATTGAGAAGTTTTTAAAGTTATAAAATGTTGCTATTATATGAATAGAAGTAAATAAAAAAGATAATGAAAATATGTTTAATATGTTTTAATATACGCATGAGCTACTCGTATACTAACAGGACAACAAAGAGCAGCAAACTTCCTCCTATTACCGATATTGTCTCAGAAATGATAGTAATATTATTATTTTGATAATAAAAACTTAAGATTATTGAAAAAACTATTGTACTATTACTATTGTATACACTATATAGTATACACGAGAAACAGTGAATGCAGTGCAATAAATCTAAATATAACAAAACAAACCATTATGTTTGAGGCTAATCTCTTAATTTTATTGTCACACAAACCTTGATATTAAGACGATGAACTTAGAGACATACAGAAATATTTATCAAAGGTTTCTGAAACGTCGGGAAACAAAAATGCAAATAAATCCGCGACAAAATCCGAAAAGATAGTTTTATTTAAAATGTCAAATATTCGCGTAAATCTAAGAAAGTATTAAAGATTTCTGAATTAAATTTCGCTGTCTGTCTCGACCATAGACATAGAGTGGACTGAAGTGTTTGCCAGTCATCAGCTATAAATGGCAGAAAGGCGCGACAGAGACAAAACGAACATGCGGCCAGAAGTCTTACGTTATAATTGAAATACGAATGATAAAGATAGATATTTATAACCATTTAACATTCCATTATAGTATTATAAGTAACTTTTAATAAATTATATATTTTTTTACATTGCATTTATAAATTCAAGTTAAAATAAAAGATAGGCTAGGTCTATGGTCTGGATTTACGCCAAGGAGTGAATGAAGGTTGCAAAGGGAGCCGGTTCATAGAAAGGCTGTACGAGGACAGATATTTATATTAACACGCTTTATTTAGCTATGTGAAATTCGAATATAGAATGGTTATCATTACCGTGAAAGTACACTAATACTATAAATATGAAATTTGATGAGTGTGTTAAACGTAACAGTGTGTTAGAAGTAACGACTTCTTCACACTTTCATTTACACGTTGATAGATGTATAGATATGAGTAAAATATAATATAGAGATTAGATGACCCTTCTAGGTGAGCGGAACCGCGGGCATAGCTAATACAAAGTAATAGAATAATGAAAAGAAATATTATTTCAAACTTATAATGTGAGCGATTGGATAAATGGATATTATTCAAAAAATACTGAAATAAATTAAAAATATTTTAATATCACTACATACCGAATTGTTTAATAATATATTAACCAATAGTCAAATATGAGAAGCTAATTACATGAAGAAATAAACACCTTTTGAAAGTTAGAAATAAATATAATGCGAAGTTAAAAACGTTTCTCTAGAGGAAGCGCAGCTGCGGTCAAATCTGGCACAAGGTGGCTGATCTCACCAGTTCAGTGTTACAACTCTTACGTGTGCATCCCGATACATTAGTGTTTATTTTGGACTCCCACTACAATGTTTCTAATAATTTTACAAGAGATAAAAGTTCAATCTTTATCGCTTTAAATTATTCAGATTTTTTAGAATAATTTTTAGAATAGAGTTTTCAACCATTTCAAATTAACATGTTAAGAAAAAAGTTGTTTTAGAACCAAATAAGGATTTTCAGATATAAATTAATATTAATCAGCAGTGGGAAGTTGATAAATAATACTAAATGGTAAATAAACACAAATGATCTAATAACAGATGGAAAATATAATACATTTTCTTTGAGCTAAATCATAAGTATTGTGGTATAGTTATAGTTTAAAGATTTATTAACTAAACACAAACAAGCGGGTAGTTAAACTTAATATGTGAATAATATGAATAAGTCAATAGTATCTTCTCCATTCTACACGACATTGGCGAAGTAAATTGTGCCCAAATGGCACGCCTATACGTCAAAGAACGAAGAACACTGAACTCAAAGTAAATTATATTGGAGATAAGCTAGCTAAAAATATTCAACATAAAACATTGTATTTTTTGCAAATCATTATTTAACTAACTACTGACGCAGAAAACATATTGCCATTATTGATTCTATTATATCTTAAACTGCCTAATAATACGAGATAACACTTATACGAGAATAAGCGAATAATTGGTGGTAAACAAAAAGAAATACAAAGAAGGCACCGCAAAGACGTTAAAACAGATCAAGAACGAATCCATTAAAATCACACGTAAACAAATTCTAAAGAGCAGATAGATTGAGTTATCATTAAAAACAATAAAGCTAACTTTGAGAAGCGATTGGGAAACCGATCAGTGAAAAAGCTTGTAAATATAGAAGTTTAATATAAAACTTGTCCAGCACAATTCTACAACGGCCAGGCCATACCGCTGAACCTAGAAAGGGACGCTCTATGGTTGCATACGAAGCCACTAGCCAGCAAGTATTTTTTTTTGAAATTCCAATTCTCTATAGGATGTCAAAAGATGGTTTTACTCATGAATGAAACTTATCTTTCAACAACGGTTCAAATTTCAACCTTTTAAAGAAAAGAGAGTTAATTTCGGGTTAGAATAAAAAATAGGTCTACTGTCGTAAGGTGTTAGCAATTTTTAAAAATATCATGAAAATTAACTCAGCTACACAAAATATGGTCTCGTGCACATGGGTTAAGTTAGACTTCAGTTCACAAATTTAGAGTTTGAGTATATCTATAAGTTAAAGAAATTTTCTTATCCTTCAGACTATAAATTGGAAATCATTTGTGACCATTATTTACTACACGTCATATTCTCTTTTTAATTTTATCTTCAAGCATCAAGTTTCTCTATGTCCTTGAATTACTTGAACATTGTTTTGCACATATATTACGAAGCATTTTGTATGATATAAATGCCCATTCCCCACAATTACTAAAAAAAATACTTAAATACAGTATTTATATTATTATATTATAGCCACAATATTTCAAAAAAAAATACCAGAATTCTTTTGTGTAAACTATTTTGTAATAATTCTCATAGCAACGCGTTTTAAAATTTAATGCTAGTACTGGATAGACAGGCGCACTTCACATGTCGTGTTTCGGCCTGCTTTCGAGTAATATTGACATCGTGTCTATGTCCACAGTTGATGCTGACGCCTCCGAAATTATCACACTTGGCTTACGACCAACGCGATAAACTAGCTCTTGCTCTAACATCCACTGCTAAAATTGCTATACATTTATTAAAAAAATTATCTAAGAAAAATATGCAAAATATGTCGTTTTATTATTTCCTGACTGCGCCGTAACTATAGAGAGTATAAATATAATAAAGATAATTCGTGTTCTATTCGACCTTACTCCATATTTAAAGTTTTTATATCATTACATATATTTTAGAGAATTTTCATTATAAAAATGCCAAAAACCTACCTTGTAGTAGTTGAATCGTTGCTTGGTACTCTGCAAGTTTCTCATCAACATAGCCTTCTTGTGACTGGTTAGCTATAATTTCAGCGGTCGATGGTCCTCTTTCCTCCTCTTCTTCGTAAATCATTGGTCGCGGGGGTGGAGGAGGTTCTAACGGCACTCCTGCGTAATCGTACTCGCGGACAGTTTCGTATGGCGAAGAGTAATAGTATTCAGGACTTTGACCTAGAGTAGGAGACATTGCATATGGAGATATCGAAAAGTGGGAACTTGGTGAGGGCGAATGTTGGCGTAAATGTGGTGAGTGGAGAGGACGGAAAGGCTTCGGAGATGGCTGGACCGGAGGCGGTGAAACGAGAGCAGTCGAATGCCTCGGCCCAGATATAAGAGGGGGTGGGCTGGGTGCCCATGGTGAAGGAGGTCGGTAGTGTAAAGGGGACGGGGGGCCCGGCTGTCTAGCGCGACCACGTCCCGGTGGCGGTTGCGACATCGTGCGGATTGATTCCTGTCAACCCGATGTGTCACGCCTTAATCTGCATCGCTGCAACAAAAAGTATTGATTAATTTTTGTGTTACGCAAAATTCTTCATTGGACTTTAATGACAAATGGTAAAGGTTTCATTAAATAGGTACAGAAACATTACAAAAAATTACCAACTTTTAAACTTGAAACGAATATTAACACAACATAATCAAAGTAATGGACACGAAAATGTTAATAACGAAAAGCAGTTTGGTAAATTTTATACAAAAGTATTCCCTTGGTAGTTTGATACTTATAGGGAAATTGTAGGGTTTATTCTGCTATTTACCTGCTTATCTTGGTCGCAAATAAAAAAAATACGAACTACCCAATAAAAATACCAAAAATATTTGTTAGAAAAACCTCTACATTACTCTTTGATATTTAGTCAAGCCGATTGTTACCAAGTCACGTGCGTGGACAAAGAGAACATAAATACCTTAGGTCGCGTGCCGGTAGCGTTCTATTTTGAGAAGGCCCTATAAAAGGATTGTGATATGAATTTCTACAAAAACAGATGCCCACATTTATGAGCTTCAAATCGGTTATTAAGTGCACGTTTGTAGTTATCGAAAGGGTTATCTGAAATATGGGTCAAAAGATTTATTGCAAAACCAAACAAACTAATTTATCGATTTCATCAAAATAGCTGGTCTTTTGTATTAAAAATATTTATCTACTAAGAATTGTATGGAATTTTGTTGAAGATAATTCAACACTTTATTTGTTATATAAATAAATATATAAACATAATCCGATCTCACTGACCCATCTTTTATTAGAATTTATAAAAGTATACGAAAATATGAAGGAAAAATATCGATATTTTGAAATATATAACTGTTAAATAAATTATATTGGAAATGAGCCAGCAAAGCTCTAAAAACTGAACGTGTCTTGTTGAAATCGGGTCATTTTGTATTAACTTGGTAAATTATAACATGTTTCACAGCAGCACTAAAGAAAGAATAGCAATAAGCTATTATATAAAATTTATTGTTCCATTCCAGACTACAGGGTAAGTTATTAATTTTGTAGAGTCATATGGGCTTTATACAAAAGTATGATTGCAATAATTATTATTATAAATTAAAACTATTTGTTCACATCGAGCTTTTCATATTTCTTAGTAAATTAGTATAAATAACATTAAACGCCCATATTGAAATAACAATCACTAACGAATACTAAATTATATTAAAAAAAAATACAAACCTTCATACGGAAGATAATCTAATTTTTAATTTAGTGACAATTCATCGACTCTAACCTGTTAATGGTGAACTTAATTTCTATCTTATCGTCTTTCAAACTACTATTCGGTTTATACTTATTAAGAGAAAAAAATGTGCAATCACATTTAGAACCTCTATAATCCAACCAAATTTTACTCACTTCGAGCCAATGCTTAGTAGTTAATAAATAAGTTCGTGCTCTTTAGTCGATGTCGATATTTTTAATATATATTCTCCTAGTAAACTGAGTATACCTAGCTGGTAAGGACATAATGGAGTATTCTTGTGACATAATAGTGCAAGTTTGTGCCTGTTTATTTTAATATATAAAAATTAAACGTTTAACCTCCACGGACATTTATTTAACAATTTTCAATAGTTATACTTGATAACATAAATGTAATTATATAGCAAATGATAATATATAAACCTAACTCTAGTCAACGACCTTTAAAGCGTCAAAATGGCCACCGTCCAGACGGTCACAAGTTTAAGAAAAAATTACACTGCGACTAGCACGCGCTTTTCTGGCTACCCTCCAACCATGCTATTAAGACAGGGCTCCCCCGCGACTCGATTTTTTATTCGAATTTAAAAATATCTTTATTTTTATATAAATATTTTTCTGTTTGTTTATTCAAAATATTAGTATATTTAAGAGAAAAGACTAGTTGAGCATTTAATTTTTCATAAATTCTGCGTCTAATATTACCATGACCTTCATTTTGTTTTTTCCATGATTTTTTGGCCTTGATGAAATGTCACCTAAGTCCCTTTGCAACTATCATAAAAAAACAAATTAAAATGTTCCCGTTTTGTAAAAATCGGGGAAAAAGAAACAAGTAGTTTGCCTATTACTCTCAGATATTACCAACTTCAGCTGAACTCGTTCTTGAAGAACAACGACAGCAATGAATATGATAAATAGTAATTTTTCTACATTAACAACATATTAGTCTATGTGCTTTAATGATAATAATCGTTTTTTTTTTAATTTGATTTATCCGTTGGTTATAGTTATAGGGGTACTTATTACATAAAACTTATAGTAACGCCAAAATTAACTCTGAAAACTCGTATTGCCAAGTCTTAAACAATCAACATGATCGAGACGCGACAGGTGAAACATATAATAATAGCTTACAGTCTAACGTCTTAATGTTTGTTTAATTGCTGGTACTTTCAGACGTCTATTTTCAAGAAGGTCTTTGTAAAAAAAAGAAAAGCCTGTTTGTATTTTCGGTTCCGTTCTTATCATAGTTTGGGTTCATAAGAGCAATGTATTGAATCAGGTTTATTAATGTTATCCAGCATTAATTAAATATAGATTTAAAACATTGTATGTATTTATTATTTTTCTTAAATTTCGACTCTTCGTTCTCATTATTTTCATCTTTGTCCACGTCATTTTCTATGTATTTTGTGTTTGATTGCTTAGTGCAATAAAGATTATATTAATATTTTCTTCTTAATTTTTCTATACAAAAACACTATGCCACTATAGCCCAGTCATTTGGTAGTTTTACCTTGAAAGTTTTCCAGGAGTTTTGAAAATTGGTTGGCTAAAACGTATAGTGAAGTATAATTTGCGGCGTTTCTCTATTATTGTATTTAAATGTTTTATTGTAGAATAAATCGGAAAGGAGACATTGTCAAAAACTGCCATTAGGCGCCATCCTTCCAATAAGGCGGCATGAGCGTCAAAAATATGACAATATAAAATATGATAATAGGTGACAAAATTGAAATTCGGAAAGAGCACATAGAAATCTATAAAATCACCAATTTTTTAAACTCCCGGAAAACTTTCTAGGTAATCTCTAATTTGAGCCTAATGACTGGGCTACTAGGCAAATAATGTGTGTAAATCACATTACTTGTAGCAAATTGTCAAAAATCTATCTATACATTATTATTATAAAATTGTAACTAAGCCGAATCTGTACATTAAATATTTTTTGAAAAATCTTATGGATATAGACATTATTATCGATACTAAGGCCGAATTTATAGATTTTAGAATTTTTGTCTCTCTGTCTGTCTGTCTGTTACCGCATCACAGAAAAACCACTGCAGGGATTATGATGAAATTTGGTATGGTGATAGCTGGTTATCCGGGTCAACATATAGGATACTTTTTACCGCGGGAAAATATCTCACTTCTGAGAAAAAATACAAAAACTGCAATGTAACAGTATACTAATATGTAAAACCTAAGAATTTGGTTTTTGGTCATCTGAACGCGGGCGGAGCCGCGGGCAATGCTAGTATTTAATAATTTCGAAGCCACTGATTAGTCAATAACAAGCAATTGTGAAAATAAAATGGATGTGGAAAACATAAGATAGCTTTTTAAATTTAACCCTAGAAAATTAAAAACAAAACAAGAAGTCCATTTTGATACATATTGATGGACGAATGATAATTTAACACGTTTTCAGTTCACGTAGGCGATAATGTGGGAGTGCACATCTAAACATTGAAAATAATTAATGATTAAACAAAAAACTGGGTCACTCAAAAATTATTTATAATAATTTTAATCCTGCCTGTCTACAGCCCAAAATAATTGGAAAACTTCGAAGAATTAGTTATATTTTTAGTTAATGGTTAGAGTGGTATTGTGTAAATAGTATTATTTTTTATTTAGTAATAGTTTTCTCTCTTCTAAATTGTAACATACATATAATTTCTAGTACTTAATAATATTTTTTTTTATTATTTACTTAAAGTTTATATAATCCCATTTAATATTACAAATGCGAAAGTTTGGATGGATGGATGTTTGTTACTCAATCACACCAGAACAGCTTAACGGATTTGGATGAAATTTGGCTCAGAGATAGATTATAGTCTAGAATAACATATAGATGATTTTCTATCCCGGAAAAATAAACGGTTGCCATGGGATATATTCCTTTTTGTTTTTCACTAGTAACAACCCCCAGCTAAGCGAAGATAAGTCGTAAGTATAACATAACGCTTAGTAATTTTTTTAAGGATTTATCATCCTGAATCTAATATAAACTCAATAAAAGTGAAAAATTGTAAACTCTTGATTTGTGTGTGACAATGAAAAATTAAAATTGAACTGAAATCTATTACATATTCTTATTGGTAGAGGATTTAGAATTTAGATTATTTCCATATTAGATTAGTGATTCGCTGATAGTGTAGTGTCTTAAATTATTGGTTATACATTCTGTCTTTTTAAAGCTAATTAGATGTGTTTATTTGAGGCTAGATCTATCTAGACATCAGCTCTTGTAAACTAAAATCTGTAGGCCAAACTATTCTTAGCATCTGTTGCTGCAACGACTCCAGTGATACAATCGACGAATTTAGACGAAAAAATCACTCCAGCTGAACAGCACAGATGATCTATGACTAATTTTACATTTCTCATCGAGTGTGATGATCTTTCGCTGTTTACGTGGATGCGGGGGCGTGAGAGAATACAAAAACTTTGATTATGAAATATATATAGTATCAAATCACGAGTTGCAATCAAATCTAATTTTTTTTTTCCTTAGAGGCAATCTAAGAAAACATTTAGGTCGCCTAATGTTTATTTAGTATGGCACAAACAAATGTTATGTCCATGAATTATTATTAAAGAAACTGATTGTTGCGATCTAAAAAGTCTTCTAAATATAACTGTTACGTTTAAACGCCCTTGGCCAAGGCGCTTAGGTTGGCGCTGACCATTGAAACGTCGGCGCATGCGCACTG